AATGATATATATATATAATATAATATATATATATATATATATATATATATATATATATATATATATATATATATATATATCAAGGTTTTTAAAAGCTAGCCATGGTTCCACCATGGTTCCAAGGCTTGTACTTGCCACTAAACTTTGACAAAATGCCGCATGATGTCACATATGTATATACAAATAAATAATAGTAGAAAAGATATATAAAATTGTAATTATATGAAAAATTGTCGCTTTAAGTCAAGCTTTACAAATGATGTGGCTCGACACAGCTCAAAAAAGCTTGAGTCTCTCTCTCTCTCTCTCTCTCTATATATATATATATATATATATATATATATATATATATATATATATATATTAGACGAATGCCCGCACGTTGCACAGAAACATCTATATAGTTGAAGTCTTTACAAATATATGTTTTTTAAATACAACAATAACGTTGTTAAATTTTATATTATAATTTTTATACTAAGTTGATATAATATATCGATTATTTTGAATTATATGATAATATATGCTTCTATTATAACTTCATAATCTCAATCGTTTAAATGACTTCTACCTGCAAGTTACACATGAATAAAATTAAATATAATATATGGTTTAACGTTGTTTATAGTTTTTGTTATTTTTAATTATTTTTGTTTAAAATTTATTTTGGTTTTAATTTGTATCATTATAATTATTTAAAACATCAAACATTATTTTTTGATTTTAAAGGTAATAATATAATCATTTATATAGAGTTAATTTTAACTATTGTTATTGTAAGTTATTTTAAGCCACTTATTTGGAAACTTTTAACGATTATAAAAATACATTTAGGAAATATTTTGAGTCAAATTGAGATTACAATTTAAGTTTTTTTGCATTTATCACTATAATTTATCACTTTTAACTATTTACAAAATATTCTTTGGTTTTTTTTAGTGGAATTGAAGTTTATATTTAAGTTGACATTATAATGCGTATAAACACCTATATAGTTGAATTTTTTTACAAATATATGTTTTTTTTTAAATATAAAAATAACGTTGTTGTTAAATTTGATATAATAATTCGTATACTAAATTGATATAATATATTGATTATTTTGAATTATATGATAATATATATACATCTATTATAACTTTATAATCTTAATCGTTTCAATGACTTCTACCGACGAGTTACACATGAATAAAATTAAATATAATTCATGATTTAATATTATTTGTAGTTGTTGTTATTATTAATTAATTTCTTAAAATTTATTTGCTTAATGTTTTAGTTTCTATCATTATAATTATTAAAAACATCAAACATTATTTTTTGATTTTAAATGTAACAATATAATCATTTATATAGAGTTATTTTTAACTATTGTTATTGTAAGTTATTATAAGTTACTTATTTGAAAACTTTTAATGATTATAAAAATATCATTGGGAAATATTTTAGTTAAATTGAGATTACAATTTTGTTTTAGCATTTATAACTATAAATTATCACTTTTAACTATTTATAAAATATTCTTTAGTTTTTTAAGTGGAACTGAAATTTATATTTAAGTTGAAATTGTAATGTTATATTTATGTTCACAATTTAAGTATTTTGTCCAAACTGTTTAAAAATTGTAGTTTTAAACTTATAATGGTTTACATTTAACATCATATTAAATGTAATAAATTAAGTATAATATGTTAAAAGTTAAAGATATAACCTTATAAGTAGAAGTAAATATATTATTTTAAAACTGAAATTTAGTTTATTTATGATTACAATTTAAGTTTGATATTTATTTAAAATTATTAACCAAATTATAATCATTATTAGAAAGATACTACAATTTATCACTTTTAACTATTTACAAAATATTTTTTGGGTTGTTTAAGTTAAACTAAAATTTATATTTAAGTTGACCCTGTAATGTTATATTTAAATTAATAATTTAAGTATTTTATACAAATTGTTCCAAAATTATATCTTTAAAATGATAATGGTTTACATCCAACAATATATTAAAACTAATAAATTAAGTATAATATGTTATATGTTAAAAAACATAACTTTATTAGTAGAAATAAATATATTATTTTAATATTAAAATTTAGTTTATATATATGATTACTTGTTAGGTTTGATATTTATTTAACCTAGTTAACCAAATTATAATAATTATTATTATAAAGAAATTGAAAAGTCATGGGAGTTTTAAATGAATATGGTGAAAGGAAAAATAGATGGAAGTTTCAAATGAATGTGGTGTAAAGAAAAATACTAGTTTTATAAGTATATAATGATAATGATATTAATATATATATATATATATATATATATATATATATATATATGCCTACTTTCAAGCGCCAACCTAGACTACAGGAAAAAAAATAAAATTAAGTCATCATATAAGTTTAAAAAATAACATATGTATCTGAGATGTGGTGAGTATGGATACCGAGAAAAGACGTAGAAGAATCTCACATCTAAATGCTTGGATTCAAGTGAAACATACACCTCAAAAGGAAGGAACGAATGCTTGCGATAATTCGTCATTTTAAATGTTTTTTTTTTTGTTACTTAAACTATTGTGTTTTTGAAAGCTATGCTTTATCTAAAAGATACAATCTTTTTGTTAATTAAACTATTATGTTTTTGAAAACTACAAAATTTTGTAAGTTTGTATGTACAAGTTTTTTGTTCTTAATTTTAGACACTCAAGGATAATGATAATTTGTTCGTAGATTTGAGGTAAACAAAGAGTGAATCTTGTCATCTATATGAAAAGTTTCACATGTCATGTTTTTGTTCTTAAATAGGAAAGGTAAACTTGTAAGAAATATTTTTGTACAACAATTTGATGGAAAGAATTCGCCAAAATCATTTGTATATATGGTGTTACTAAAAATCAATTAAAATAATAATTTAGTTACATATTGAAAATTTATAAATAATATAGATGATAATTGAAGTTTTAAAATACATATATAGTAGTCAATTGATAAAAATAATAATTTAAAATAATTACAAAATATTTAATAAAACAAGTAAGTAATGAAACCAGTAAACCGAAAATAAGAGATCAAATCGTAATTTTTACCGATAATTCATGCTTTTTCGTAAATAAATTTCTGTTTTCATAAATTATAATAAAATTTTAGAAGTTTTTTTTAGTGGTTTTCATTTTTATTAACGTCCCTAAATTTCCCTATTCTAATAAATGAATAAGTTTAGTCTCATATTGACAAATAACATTATATTAAGGGCGTGTTTGGCACAGAGCTTTTAGCTTTTAGCTTTTGATAAAACGCTCTAGTTTGAACAAAAAACTTCGTTTGACAGTACGAGCGTTTAGATTTTAGTTTTAACAAAACGCTCCGATTCTAAAACCTACTTCATGTAGCGTTTAACAAAACGCTACATAGCTTTTGAAATCAATTTCCATAATTACCCTTAAAAATGTATTTATATATTTATTTATGTTTAATCAATTGTCTTTTTATGTAATTTTATATATTTCAAAAGCTTCCAGCTACTTTTGCCAAACATTAATATAACAAATAAAAGCTACAACTTTCCACTAACAGCTACCAACTAGACGCTACCAGCTACCCGCTACCAGCTAATCGCTACCTACTTCCAGCTAATAACTACTTTTGCCAAACACACCTAAAACTCCTCATTAAATTTATATGTCTCTTATCATGTCATTTGTCAACATATTAATTATCCATTTCAAATTTCAAAATTTAAAATTTCCACCCTAATTACATTAAATTTTAAATTTCAACTTTTAAATATTTTCACTTTAATTATATTAAATTAATAACATCAGATTAAAAATTAAAATAAAATTAATACGGATTATTATATAATATAACATCACATATTTATTTAAATGAACGATTATAATATTATATAACTAAAAAATATCTCTTAAGTGAAAATTTATTTAAAATAGTTGATTAATAATTCTGATAATTTAATATAGAACTTTAATTAATTTTATATGGCTTATAAACTGGTTTTAAATAAAGTTGCGATGGTATATTAAGTACACAAAAAAGGAAAGGGACCAAATGAGAACAAACTCAACAGTTGGTTACCTTTCTGAGTCATTTTCCCCGAAAAGTTAAATGAAATTAAAGTTGCAAAATTATCAAAGAATTCAACCTTCTTTGGCTATAACGTATATGAAGAGTGTTTCAGAGGGGTAACTTCGTTAAAACTTGGTCTATGTTATGCTTACTGTGGTTAGCTGTCAACAACTCTCTTAAAAAGGATATGATTGTGTATGAGAGGTATATTTATCAGCATAACGTTTACCTCAAGGTATATTATAGTGATGTGTCTGCAAAAGCAACATGATATTGTACATATTGATGTTGTATCTCATCCCATGAATTTGATCTTAAAGCTAAGTAAACTAAAAAATCACAGCACTTGTGATTCCACTCGTTTATAATTTTGTCTAGAATCCATGATACGATAAATCATTCGATTGGAAATGTAAATGTAGTCATGAAATACGCCTGCTTGGTCAAGATTTCCCTAATAAATATTCAAGTGCATTACAAAGTTATACATGTCTGAATAGTGTTCTTTCGTGAGTTATGTTTTGAAGAGAAGCAAGAATGAATATCATAAAGTCATTAATATTAGTAGGAGATAACGTAGGATTTGCTGTAAATGAGTAAAAAAGAAAATGACTCTTGATAGTAATTAACTTTTGCTGTTTTTTTTTTTTTTTTTTTTTTTTTTGTATTCAATATACCATCGAACTTGGTTGTTTGTGTTCACCGTAACCCTTTGACCGACTATCAAAGGTCAAAAGCCGATCAAAAGGGTTATGGTGAACACAAACAACAAGTTCGATGGTATATTGAATAATAAAAAAAAAAAAAAAAACCAAATGAATACAAACGCAAAAGATAATTACTATCAAAAGTAATTTTCCTTTAATTTTATGTAAACCGAATGTACCCAATGTAATCACAAATAAACGGAATATTATTGATAGCACTTACGCAGTTTGGTCGCTGTTCGAAAAGCACCTGGTTGGCATAAACCCTAACCCCTAAAGTTAACGACCACTCCCTCTGCAAAATTGTATTTCCTTTGGCAATTCATCGGCGATCATGGAAGTTGATAGAGCAGATGGGCGGGCCCCTAATCAACGAAGACCGGTGGCCTGTACTCGAGGCATACTCCACCGTGCTCATGGCTCCGCTAGCTGGGCTCAAGGTACTTCTTCCCCTCTCTCTCTCATTACTCCTTCAGTTCTGCAATTCTGTTTCATCTTCGAAACTTCAAGAAGATTCATATTGCATCTCGCTAGTGTTTATAAACTTGTGAATTTTGGGGTTCTACACAAATATGATTCTCATTCCGGAACAATATTAGGGTTTTATCGTTCTTTCGTTAATCTTCTTTTCTTACTTCTGAATGATGCTTTTTTATCTGGAATCAGGTGACACAAAAGTTATTGCTGCTGTTTATGGACCCAAAGCTGGAACTAGGAAAAACGAAAACCCTGAAAAGGCCTGCATTGAAGTCATTTGGAAACCAAAAACCGGACAGAGTGGTGAGTTTTTTTCTCTTGTTAATGCATCCATAATGTATACGAATCTCATTCCTTTTGCAATTTCTCCATGGTGCTAACTTATGAATAAAAAAGTTAATACAAATTACAAACTATTGCAAAATAGGGAAACCAGAGAGGGAATATGAAATGGTGATGAAGAAGACATTACAAAGCATCTGCCTCTTGAATGTTCATCCCAATACAACAACTTCAATTATCATTCAAGTTGTCAATGATGATGGTGCTGTATCCTTTAATCTTTTTTCCTTGTTGCTTTTGCTTATGTTAGTAATCTTTTTCCTATGATTAGTATCTATCATAGAACTCAATTTACATATCTATGGATTTCTTGACCTAGTTTCCTTTAGCTTCTTCCATGTGCAATAAATGCAGCTTGTGCTGCTCTAGTAGATGCTGGGACTCCATTAAAGCATCTTGCTAGTAAGATAAACTCATGAACAAGTTCAATAAACTTTTTTTTTTTTTTTTTTCTGTATATATTGGAAGCTTGATTTTTAAACTTCGTTTATTTGTTTTTGACTTTTTGTAGTTGCAATATGTTGTTGTATGTCTGAAAACGGTCAAATTTTACTTGACCCAAGCAAGATTGAAGAACAGGTTATTTGCCATTATCTATAAATCGAAATACTTGATAACTTTAGGCACCAATAATAATGGAAAATTGTTTTTTTTTTTTTTTTTTAATTAACAGAAAGTGAAGTCATTTGTATATTTGGTGTTCCCAAATTCTATAGCTTCCGTTCTTCCAGAAGGTTCATTAAAATCACGAGGTGAAATAACGGAACATGGGATTCTTACATCCGTGACACATGGCGTAATGACAGGTGTCTATCTATCTTTCATTCATAGATCTCATCAAATTTAATCCACGTCAACAAATGCAAGAATTAAGAAATAATAATTTTGATATGTTTTTGGTTTAATCTAATTTATGTTTGCATACAGTGGATGATTATTTCAGCTGTCTAAAATTGGGACGCCCTGCTGCAGCTGAATTGTCTGATTTTATCAGAAACAACTTAAAATTGAAACCAGGGAATGACTCATCTAAAGCAGCTTAATTAAGACCTTTTTTAATGCAATTGAATGTATAATTCTTTGTACGTTTTTTTTTTTTTTTGTTAATTATCAAGGGCTTGAATTTTTGAACTTAATTTAAGACGAGTATTATATTGTTTTTGGTCATGTTGTATTGAAATAGTTTTGAGTTAGATTACTAAAATTTTTCGTTTTGGTCTATAATATAATTTTAAATTAATATATTTTGCTTTTGTGAAAGAACAATTTTAGATAATGTTATTAATATCTAGTGGAATATATGTCCAGTCATTTCTCGTGTTTGTTTAATTAAAGATTTAAAGATATACGATATATTTAATCCATGGGGTCACAATATTTCTTGTACTTGTCCTTATATGTTTTAGGGTCCATCTTGCGGTCCATTTTGGTATTCGACATCAAATGACTTTATATAATATGAATTTTGGTCATAAATTAATGACAGGCGAAAGGGATATTCACCAAATGATCATTTTTCGAAATTATATATATAAAATGATCATCATTACTTCGAAACTTTGCTAGTTTTGAACTACATAGATTTTCAAGTTCATTAATTTTGGTCATAAGTTAATGATTGGCGAAAGGGATATTCACCAAATGATCCTTTCTAGTAATTATATTATATATAAAGTAATTTGATCATCATTTTAATAAAATGTTAAAATGGTCATTACTTCGAAACTTTGCTAGTTTTGAACTACATAGAGTTTCAAGTTCATTATTGTTGCCTCTTATTTAAAGTCGTAGGATTTTTAATATAGGATACTTAATTTTGAAACTGTTCCCTTTAGTTTTCTCTAAATTATTTTTCGTATGATGGGGACTTTTTTTCGAACATAAGGTATATAACAAAAGTAAATTCTTATTTTTTTTAATCATGTGGACTTTTTTTCGAACATAAGGTATAATAAAAGTAAATTCTTCTCATTTTTTTTTATCATGTTTTTGAAATATTTAGAACGGTTTTAAAGTTTTGAAGTAAATTATAAGGGATTCGAAGTACATTTTAAAGTCCTATTCTTTTTTTAAAAAGAAATGTTATATTGGTGTACAAAGGTTATATAAGGTGTAAAAGGCCTGTATAAAATATTTTGGGACACAATACAAACAAAACGAAAAACAAAATTCTGTTCACTATGAAAAGTTTCATAACTAAAAACCAATTAGAAACTAATATGAACAATTTTGAATTTTATATTGTCTCTTGTTCTTTTCGTATATCCTAAAAAAATATTCGAAATCTATCAAATGATTTTATAATTTACGAACCTTGCTTATAAATTTTATTCTAGATGTAAGGGAACTTCCCTAAAATGAATTACTTTTTTTTTAAAAATTTATAAGAACCATCATAAATTTTATTTCTTAACATTATGTGTTGGTTCCCCAAAAATGTATTTATGTTAAAAACAAATAAAACCGAAATAAGCCATTTGTTAGAAAAAGATAAAATCCATTCATTTTTAGATGCGAATGGTGGCATAACGACAAGACAAATAATGTCCCAAGTAATTGTTACAAGTTAGTTTATTCTTGAATGTCGAGCGTGGTATTCAACATATTCAAACAATTACTCCTTTTTATCTGTAAGAACCATTATTATTTTTATTTCTTAACATCTTGTGTCCATAAATGTATTTAACAATAATAACATTATAAACAACTAAAACCAAACTGCATGCCATTTGTAAGAAACGATAATTCCATTCAATAATGATGCGAGTGGTGACTTACCGACAAGACAAAGGCGGCCAATATATAAAACAAAGGAACAACCCCCTCCAACATGGACCATACGATTACTTTTCCATACTAATATTCCATTAAATTAAACTTTCTTGAAAGAGACCACATTTGATTAAAATGAACAGAAACTTCACAAAAACAACACTCCAATTTTCTCCAAGAACTCCAAATTTCTTGAATGAATCACACAAGATTGATCAAACCCCTTATCTTTATATCCATCTTCTTCTTTCCCAATGTTTTCGCACAACAAAATTCAACCGATTCAAATCCGGGGCGCATGCGTGCTGTGCATCCAAGTGTTGTTATTGTCATCGGGGTGCTATGCACGATGTTTTGTTTAACATTTCTCGTACTTGCTTGCATGAAATTCTGTCAATCGGATGTACTTCAACAAATCCCTCATCAACTTCCTAGCTCAAGGTCACGGTTTTCTGGGATTGACAAAAAAGCAATCGAATCTTTGCCTTTTTTTAGATTCTCATCACTTAAAGGATCAAAAGAAGGGCTAGAGTGTGTAGTGTGCTTATCGAAGTTTGAAGATTCGGAGGTTTTAAGGTTATTGCCTAAGTGTAGGCATGCGTTTCATATGAATTGCATCGATCAATGGCTAGAAAGTCACTCTAGTTGTCCTCTTTGTAGGTATAAATTTGTTTTATCCGATATCACAAATTTCACATGCACAAATAGTTTAAGGTATACGCAAGACGAGGGTTTTAATAATCTTGAAGTGTTTGTTAGGAGGGAACACGATGGTTCTTCTAGGTCATCGAGGTTTAGTATAGGAAATAGCTTTAGGAAATTTTCAAAGAGCCCTAAAGAAGATGTCTTAATTCAATATGGAGATCAAATGTTGGATAAGTTCAAACATAGGATCATTGTATCCGACATTGTTTGCAAGAGTCGGTGGAGTGATGTGAATTCCTCAGACTTAATGTTTTTGAACTCGAAGATGCTTAATGAGGTTTCAAAGAAGCATTTCTCACCTTCGGGTAGTGGGAGATTTGAAATAGATGTTGAACAAGCAATGAAGTTTAAGGAGGATATGGAAAGAAGAAGATTATATGAATCCAAGGTTGCTAAAACCCTTGATAGTGGCGAAACATCGATTTCGAATTTGCAGTTTCCTAGGTTTCAGACGGACGAGGAGGCAGATGGTATGCAGAAGAGGTCAATGTCAGAGATTACAAATGTCTCAAGATTTAGAGAAACAAGAAGTTCATATTGGGCTAGTAATGCGAAAGATGTGAAGTTACAAAGCGTTTGGTTGCCGATGGCAAAAAGGACAATTCAATGGTTCACAAATCGGGAGGGAAATTCGTTTGAAATGAGAAGTTGATGATGTTCAAAATGTGTAGATGGTTGAATCAAATTTTGTTGCCCAATATTTCATTTTACAGGCCCAATCGCATTTATAATATATTTGTATAAGTGGTCTAATGCATCGTAAGAAGGTGAAGGTCCATAAGAAATGTTTAGGCATAATCTTCTTTGTAGTTTGGACTTTGGTTATTGTGATTACTATAAGAGCAAAGTACATGAACCCTAACCTCCAAAGTGTAATCCTCTTTGTAATTTAGTTTTATTTTTTGGTACAATTTCTCATAGGAAAAACTAAAAAGGAGCCAACAAGAAACGGCCCAGCTTGAAAAATATTCCCTACATTCGTTCAAACTGTAGTATGAAAAAGCATCATTTGGGGGCAAACTAAGAGTGTTCATGTTAGTTACAAATGTATTATCATAAAAATGAAGCATTAAAATGGCAGATTTTGAAGTCCTAATTCCGTTGATTTCGTCTAATAACGGTCAAACTTTCATAGGGACTTTGACTATTGATATTAGATCTAACATATTTAGATGCTATTTGTTTTTTTTAAGATAAAATGTTATAGTCTGCAAACCATATCTGTAGATCTCTGCACTTGAAAAGGTGGACCAATCGTTTGCAGTCTAAAAAAAGAAGAGTTTTTTTTTTTTTTTTTTTTTTTTTTTTTTTTTTTTTTTTTTTTTATAACATCTGTAGACTACTAAAATAAAATAAAATCTAAATAAACTATTTTTTTAAACTTCAAAGTAATTTTTTAATATTTTTATAACTTTGTTATAAATAATTAACAAATCTAGATCAACTTTATGTATTATTGTATAAAAAATAAAAATAAAAATTATACGAATTAACGTATATATTTGATAAAAACCAACAATTTTGGTCGCAAATTACACTTAAACATTGTAATTAGGAATCGAAAAAACATCATAAATGGTCCCTGTGCTTTCCCAAAATCTGAAGTTTAATCCCCATGGTTTAAAAACGTCATAGATGGTCCATGTGCTTTCAAAACTTTTGACGAGTGGTCCTTATTGCTAACTCCGTTAAGTTTTGTCCGTTAACTGAAGGGTATTTTCATCATTTCACTACCATAGGGACCATTTATGATCTTTTCTCTTATTTTATAAAAAATGAAATAATATACAAAGGGGGTCCTACCTCTCTCTTTCTCTCTCTCTCTGTCTCTCTCTGTCTCTCTCTGTCTCTTTCTGTCTCTCTCTGTCTCTTTCTCTCTCTCTCTCTCTCTCTCCCTCTCTCTCTCTCTCTCTCTCTCTCGTATGAACACCACCACAATCCCTAAAATACTAAACATGTTCTGAATTTTGGGTTCTTGAATTGATGTATAGGAAAGGAAGGAATAAACTTCGTGCTTACTTCTAAACTAGTTTTCGATGGTTAAGTGCTACAATAAGGGGGTGGGGTTTGAGTTAATTGGTACAAACAACGGGGAAAGGAATCGTCGTCTTCATTAAGTGGATGAAGAAACAAATGAAAAGAAGGAAAAATTGGGAATCTCTAGTGAGGCTGAGAGATCATGAGAAAGGGCAGGCGTTGACCTCCGGCGACCCTCGTGGGTTCAATCTCCGTCTGATCGGAAGGGAGAAGTACGAATGAAATCAGCAAATGAGTTTCTCCGGTGGGGTTTAACAGATCACAAGGAGGGAATAGCTTATCCCCGACGTGCCTTCATCTTTACCTTGGTCATCGTCTTCATCTGATGGGAATGGAAATCGAACGGAGTGGTCAAAATAGGTGGTCCGGCGACTGAAATCGGTGAAGAAGAAGAAGGGTTGTTGGATTTTCCGACGACCCTTCTCTTGTCTGTTCGTTTTCGGCTAACGCGAAAGGGGAAGGGCGGAATTTGGCCCTCACATGTTTCAGAAAGAACTGGACAAAATCAGAAGTTGGGTGGGGGTGTGGGACCTCGTCTTCATTAGATTGAAGGAGAAGAAAATGAGAGCAACGAAATGGGGTGTTCGAGGGTTGAGCTTCGACAGGAAGGGATCTGTTGGAGGTTGGGATGGAGGCAACAAACTCCTCTCTCTCATCTTCGTGTTTTCTGGCGATCGGAGAACCACCCACCTCCGGTGGGTGAGTCCTGGTAGTCTAATGAAGAAGAAATATGGACAACAATAGTAAGTATTGAGGTGCTAAACAAAGAAGAAAACATGAGAGACAAAGAGAGAGAGAGAGAGAGAGAGAGAGAGAGAGAGAGAGAGACAGAGACAGAGAGAGAGGTGGGAGCCCCTTTGTATATTATTTCAATTTTTATAAAATAAGAGAAAATATCATAAATGGTCCTTGTGGTAGTGAAATGACGAAAATACCCTTCAGTTAACGGAGTTAGCAATAAGGACCAATCATCAAAAGTTTTGAAAGCACAGGGACCATCTATGATGTTTTTAAATCATGGGGACTAAACTTCAGATTTTGGAAAAGCACATGGACCATTTATGATGTTTTTTCTTAGGAATCGAAGAATTTGATACATAAATGAATAAACCACTTGGGTTGTGGTGACTTGGTAAGGCATGTGGAAGATATGGTGGATAACCTATTAACCCATGTTCAAATCCTGACACTACTAAGCCCTTGTGGCCATGGAGGTTCGCCTGCAGTGACTCCAGGGCATGAGGCAAAGCCTCATGTTTGCAGCGGGGGATTAGTCGGTGCGCGAAAACTGGCCCGGAAACCCTCGTTAGGGAAGTTCCCTTTCCAAAAAAAAAAATGAATAAAAATAAACTTCAATTTTTTTTTCAATTAAATCAATTAAAAACATACCATAAATATTTTCTCAATAAATTAACGATAATGTATTAAATAATGTTTTATAAAATTTGGCATACAAAATATAAAAATATATTATGATTTATTTTCATATTTATATAAATAACTTCAACGATCATTATTGTAACAAATTTTTATTTATAAATTTATCAAAAATATCATGTTTGTTTCGTTGAACTTTTTTTTATAGTACTGTAACTTTTTTTTTTCCCAAATTGTTTATCATTAATAAGGTTGGACTAAATTTAAATTAAAAAAAACTATATATATATATATATATATATATATATATATATATATATCTGTGTGTGTGTGTGTTTAGGTTAGAAGATGTCTGAAGATTTAGAAGACTATGACCTACATCTGCGCCAAGAAGAGGACGCCCAAACATTTTTAAGTCTGCAGTCTTCAAAAAAACAAACAATTTGTGAAGACTAATGTTGTGCAGATAGAAGAGATCAAAAAGATCTGCAAACAAACAACAAACAACACCTTATTATTGAATACTCCCGTTAATTACTTAATTGTAAAATAATAACATACGTTCTGATTTCCTTTATTTGTTTACTGTGAATAGTATTTTATATCCTTTTTTGTTACGGTTGTAACACCCCAACTCTCAGATATTAATTTTACAGCTTTATTTTTCATATTGGAAGGTCTACTCGACGAGTTGGATGCCCTAACTCATCGAGTAGGAACTTTCGGGGCCACGTGCTTAAATGACCAACTCGCCGAGTCGGAGACATGACTTGACGAGTTGGAGCTGGAGGATGAAACCCTAATTTCCGGGGTTTTGCACCCTATTTAAAGGGTTATTAGCCTCCGTTACATCCCCTTGTGAGTCCAGAAACCCTAAATCGCTAATTTTCCTTATTTTTGTGTGATATTAAGCTTTATGGTGGATTGTGGAAGGAAGATCTCGAAGTACTCAAGTTTGGAACAAGAGGAAGGTTGTTGATCCGAGTTCTTCTTCATCTTAGCATCGTTTTTAAGGTAACAAGTTCTTACCTTGACCTTCTTCTATCTAGATCTATGTATGTAAGAGATTAGGGCCATTTTGGCAATGTTGATATGTTATTGTGGGTATTAGGCGTGATCTGAAGTTGCAACTTCAAATCTAGGATTATCTTGGTCTATAGAATCATAAAGTTTCAGCCTTTAGTGAGTTAATACCTTCTTCATCCTTAGAACCTTTCTTTAGCTTGATTTGGGCCATTATCACCTTGCATGTACGTAAAGTTTGCAACTTTACGTAAGAAGTATGCCTTAGGAGCTTAGATTTGCATTATGGAGCTTAAAGTCACTTAAAAATCGTCTGGATGGAGAAAGGACTGAAGGGACTCGACAAGTTGCATGGCCAACTCGGCGAGTTCGATGAAGATTGTCGTGCAAGGACTTCTGCATGGACTCAGCGAGTCAGTAGAGTGACTCGGCGAGTCAGCTAGGGTTTTCCCGACATGTAGACATGCATGAACTCGACGAATTTCAGGGAAACTCGACGAATCAACTAGGGGTTTCACGAATTCTCGAGTTCAGGAAGGACTCGACGAGTCGGGTCAACATGGACTGTTGACCTTGACCATTGACTTGGACTTTGACCAAGGGTTGACAAGTTGACTTCTGGGGTATTCTGGTAAATTGTAAATCTATGGAAATGGTCTTATGGAAAGTATAGGTGGTGGAGTTCATGGCAGTGGTTCGAGAGGTTGAGTTGATCACTTCGATTTGACAATTGAGAGGTGAGTTATCCTCACTATACTAAGGGGTCGAATGCACCAACGTCGGCCCATTGGATATGTTATCCTAGCAATTGGTAGTATGTTGAGTATGAAATAGTGTTGCATGATACAACATATTATATAGGTTGGGTTGAGGTTGTACTGTTCTGTGCAGTAGCCAACAACCCCTAGGGTATTCCTTATATGAGCTGACGGCCCGGCGGGGCATGCCAGATACGAGCTGAGGGTCGGGTAGGGCATGCCAGACTCGTACTGTAGGCTCGGGAGCATTCCAGATACGAGCTAAGGGTCGGGTAAGGCATACCAGACTTGTACTGTGGGCTCGGTGGCAATCCAGATGTGATTTATAGGCCCGGAAGGTAATCCAGACTCACACTGTGGTCCTAGGGTAATTTAGTCTGTAAAGTTGTGGATCCAGTACATGTTGTTATTTGTATATGTGTTATTTGCGGTGTATCAGTATTTTTGGGGAACTCAC